GGCAAATGCGGTGAATACCATGCCCTCCTTCCATTTGACGGGAGTACCAGTAATTTTTGTTGTCTGACCATCAATATATGTAAAAGTTTTTGTCAGCTTTGTATCTTCAAAATAAGGGTTGTCATTAAAGTTCTGAAACAGAGGCATTAGAAAGAAGCATTAGTAAAGAGTAATTCAAACACTATCAGAGAAAAATGGGCATTATATAATTGGAGCAAAATCCAAAATGAACAAAGAAAATCAGCATGCAAAAAGAACAGACAATAGAATGTGCGTGTCCCCAAGGTAAAGTCAACACGAAAACAGGGAGCTTACGAATGTGACGGAGTATCCTAACGTCTTATCATCTTTGAAGTCCACCACATCAATAGACTTTAAATACTTGAAAATCTATGTGAAGAAGAAAAGAAGAGAATTAGTAAACACACGGACTTGATCAATTCCAGTCAGCTGAAAGAATTAAGACGGTAGGAGGAAACACAAAAATTTACTCAAAGTAAAAATCTTTAACAAACTATTTGTCTGACCTTCTGGTCTTCTGCACTCAAAATATCACAAAGTACAGGATGGCTCATGAACTGCGTCCAACAATAATGCACAAGTTATATACATGCCCAAATTATGTATCAACCATTAAACGTTCTAAAATAAGATGAATATGAAATATATCGGATCACTAACAGAAGTTAGCCAAAAGTCAGGAATGGTTTTTATTATCTCATTCCGCTTCACATAGACGGGCCTGCGTATCTCGTTATACTTTTGCTCAATGTCCAAAACCTTGTCATTCTCTTCGTCATCAACCTGTGGGGTGCCAATGCAATTTCAAGCTTCATCAGCATTATATACCAAAATGAAATCTTAAGCTTATCCAATGAACCAAACCATTCTGATATAAACATTGATAGGTGCTCAAGGCATAAAGATAACATATACAGGCAACCAAACCACAAAAATAAATGAAAGATGTAATTAAAAATATGTAAAGCTCTACACGGTGATTGAAATCCAATACAAATAACAAAAATTAAAATAAAATTGAAATTGAGAGCTACACTTATGAGCTGTGATATGCAGACGCTTTATACATACAAATTGCCAATACATATATTTATACACATATATACGCAGCATAGAGAGAGAGAGAGAGAGAGAGAGCAGAGAGAACAGAGAGGTTGCAGAACCTTGTCGAGTTCGTCTTGAACCTCCTGCAACTTCTCGACGGAGAGCACGAGCTCCTTGTCAAGGTGATCGGCGTCGTCCTCCGGAGCTCGCTCGGTGAGCTTGGGCTGCTTCGCCGCGTCCGCCACCATCGTGAGAAAGCAGAACCCTAGCTCTGGAGGCAAAGCAAAACCCTAATTTACTCTGGAAAGCGAGGGAAAATCAGCGAGAGGGTTTTGTAATGATTGTTGTGCGTGTGTGTATACGGGAGAGAGGTCTCGAGGGCCTTACAGTCTTTTCACATCCTCACTGTAGTGTTGTGTGACGTGTCACTTCATAAACAACTCCTTTGATGTCCAATCTGTTATTGTCACAAGTTGGAGCATTGTGGCACGAACATCGATATTGATCACGACATAACAATCGTCGTTGATGTCCAATCTGTTATTCTTTTTATAAACCCTAACGCTCCGTTTGGTTTCTCGAAAAATTTAGGAAATTGAAACTAAGAATTTGAAGAGGAGAGAGAGGCTTACGTACGTGATCAAAGTGTGACAGAGCCGGTTTATCTGAGAGAATTCGGAGGAGAATTTCGAAAGCCAATGATGTCATTAAGGTAAAGCTGAGGAAGGTGATCTGTCGTGCAATTTTTTTTCCTTTCTATGTAATGCCTACCAACAGCAATGGTTTGGCATGCCACGATGCGAGGGTTAGCGTGTCAAAGTGTTAGAAAATTATATGTCATGGCTTGTCTTGACATGGTAACTCTCGCATCGTGGCACGCCAGAACATCGATGTTGACCATGACATGACAAGTGTTGTGAATTGTCGGCAAAATGCATGTTATGACACACCATGCATTTTGTCGACAATTCGCAAGGCTTGTTATGACGTGCCACGATGCAAGAGTTAGCGTGTCAAGATGAGTCATTATCCGTCATGCATTTTTCTAACACTTTGCCTACTATTTCGGAATAATTTTATAAAAAAAATATAGGAAATATATGACACGTTCTTACCGGTAATAACCTTTGTAAATATTCAACTCAGATAATGCACATGTTCTTACCGTTAAGAAGATGCATAAATATTCAGGTCAAATATTGAACGTGTTCTTATCGGTAAGAACAAGTGTAAATATTCCGCTCATATATTGTATCCACAGCAGATAGAGTCTCTCTCTCTCTCTCTCTCTCTCTCTCTCTCTCAATCACACACAAATGCATAGAGTTAATTGCCTATATAAATTCTGATTGATTTCTTGTTTCAGAATTGTATGGCTTCTCATTAAGCATGGTGCACGAGTGAGCCAGAGGAACAAATAGTGAAATTCCCAATCTGGTTGGGTCCAGTTCAATGTTGTTAGTATTTATTCTCTATTTGCCTCTTGGAAGCTGGCTCTCAGAATTCAAACTTCGACTGCTAACGTTTATCTCCGTGTCTGCAAAACTGTTAACATTACCAGTAGACAAAGACCTATCAACCTGACAAACTCGCAAGATTAGCGTTTCATATTGCCGAACCCAACCAGTACTGTTAGCCTCAATAAGTTGATTTTCGAAACGTGTACCAACTGTACGTTTGATTTCACATTTCTAACTATCGGTTTTCAATTTTGCAGGTACCAATCAACATGAATGCCATGTTCAAGAGGCGACGAGGCTTTCTCAAGCACCTGCGAAGCACTTCTAACCATGCAAGATGAAGACACCGCTACTGAAAGTGCTTGTGCATGTGTATGTCCTTAATCTATTAGTACGTTCTCAAGTTTCCATACTGTATGTGTGCGCTAGAACTATTCACTCCAGCAACAAGGCAGAGATTTGTAAATACTTCGATTCTCCTCGTGGATGTGTTAGAGGATCCAAGTGCTTTAAGTTGTATGGATTACGAATACTCAGGCATTCTTCATTGATTTGTATAACAGATGTATTCAACTCTATTTCTCTTGATAACGTAATGTTCATATGTTACTTTGTGAAGCCGATTCGTTGGGTAAGTTTTTTGAAAAAGAATTTGGGCCGATGGAAGATGCCAATCATTTTAGCTCAAATGGAAAACAAGATGCAATCTCGAGGCTCTGGATTTGTCAGATTTAAAGAGGAGAAGTCTGTTTCTGCAGCTGTTCAAGCACAATATGTCACCATGGCAGGCACGCCGGTCGAAATAAAAAGTCTAATACCAAAAATGGCAGCTGAGTCGGAGAAAATGTCACTTCGACAACAAGAACAAGAGAAGAATTGCAATTGCCAATCTCCACCACTTCCAGTTGCAGCAAAGGTGTCGTCCAGCGAGATGGTTATGGAAGCAAATAAACCCGAACAAGTTCTTGGCTTGATAAGTAGTCCAAGGCCAACCGAACACATCAACTCAAGCACATAATATCAGCAGCCCCAAGGACAGTCAAAGCATGCCTGTATGGCTTAAAGGCTTGCAAGAAGTGGTTTCCTCGATCGCTTCTTACAACGTCTTCCAAAGCATCCGAGTGGAGAATACGCTCTCTCCTCTCTGAAAAGTGACTTACAATTGGATCATTTGCGCGTTGGCTTCTCTAAGCTCAGTGACTTCATCAAATCTTTCTCCAACTTATGTGCCAAATCCCAGGCTTCACCACAACCTTTGTCATACACTCAAAGCGCCTTGCAGTTCCCCTTTTATTTGCACATGTTCTTACTGGTAAGAACACATTCAATATCTGAGCTACATATCTACACAACTTCTTACCGACTAGAAAAGGGGCAACAACTCTCGAGTAAAAAGTAGTATCGAAGTAGCCCTTAAGAATATGTGCATTATCTGAGCTCAATATTTACGAAGGTTATTATTGGTAAGAACGATTCGTATATTTCCTATATTTTTTTTTATTTTTTTTTTATTGAAGATGATAGCTTGGAGGATGAGGCCTTGGAGCAATCCACAATGGCATTTGGTTTTAGAGGGCCTTGCAAGAAAATGGAACAAATCATCGGGATTCTTCCTTGGTGAATTCGATTTCTACAAGGTGAGATCAGCAGCCCGTGAACTAAAAATTACGATTTTATGTTGTTAGAGATTTGATATATATTGTTCATATTGGACGCAGGACTACAAGGAAAGCACCTTGGAGGGAAAGTGTTTTGCGTGCAACCAGAACCAGATTTTATGGGCCAACTTCCCCCGCCAAAACTTGCTCTGGTGCAGCGCCTGCAAAGTGCAGGCCATACTGGCTGCCGGTGATTTCGTTCACAACTGCGTGGTGTGTGATGCGCAAGTACACAAACTCATTTAACTTCCGTGGAATGATGAATTCCGGCGTATATCACCTGGTCCTTTCCGAACGAAAGATCAAAAGACGATTCTACACATTTGCTTGTTTTTATCTTCTTTTCCTACTGTAGTCCATTCGCACAGAAGACATCTCCATTAACCGGTAACAGATGAAATCGTTTGCAGTCGAGGTCCCTGTGCAGAGAGGGGGAAAATGCTGCCAATGGAGGGTAGATGACAGCTATAGACACATAGTAAGAGGGTTCAGGTAAACTGAAGATATGCCCGGAAAAAGTTAAAAGGAAAGGCGGGTTGGGCGTAGCGTCTCCTTCCCGTCACAATAGAAAATACTTTTGGACTCCGATCAAAACTGTAGAGTTTGCACTCGAGCAGTAGCCATATATCACCAATGAGGAAAGAAAATGATAGCAGAAGCGTTCTACTGATATAACTTGTTTTGTTGATATACACAAAAGTAATTACCTTGATCCCATTTGTTTTATGGTTCAATTTCGCTCGATGTTTACTTTTCGGACATGTCAAATACAGTAAAACAAAATGACTCACACAGACATAGTTACTTCCCTGGATTGTTTGGTCAACCAACCGGAAATAGGGCTTCTGGTTAATCCAAATCACCGTCGGTGATCTTATAATGCAAAGAATTTACACAATCAGTTAGCCATTATAAGTTATCCCGAAAATGATTAAACAACTCTTTCTTGTCCTTTAATCCTTTAATTTTGAACAATATAGTTGCATCTTACTCGTACTCAGTTGAGATATTTAAACATGTTTCCTATTCTAAAAGCAAACCGCCACCATACTCGAAAATAGGGTGAGCTCATGAGAGTAGCAAACCTGCTGTGTCTTCGTAACACTGTAACTGTTGCAAACTCAGTCCACATGAGCTCCCAGACGACGGTAAAGTACACAGTTGTAGTCTAACATATCTCACATCTGCCCTCGTGGTTGTCTATCTCTGACTACTGGTTTGCACACACCGAGTGCCTGCAGAATATCTTTCTGTTGTCAACTCAAACATATTTGGAAGAATACAGAAAGGTTTATGTCAACATATGATATAAGAACCAACACATCTGTACGTGTGACAAGAAGTTAAGTTCAATTATTTAAAAAAAAAGACACAAGGAACTCGGCCAATGAACGTAGTACTTAGTTACGGAACAACTCTACTTCTACTCAGTAATTCGGGAATAGAAATTTCCCTTGCATACAATTGCAGCAGCTATTGAATGTGGTTAGTAGAAAAAATTTACCTGCAAGAACGCTAAGCAGTTACTTTCTCTCCGAGCTCATGTTGTACAGACCGGTCATGCTTTTTCCTACAAATCAGAAGAAATTGTTAGCAATGTGAAACGGTAAGGCAAACAATTAAGAAAACATATAAAAAGATCCCAATGTATACATTTAACAGATGCCTCTGAAATCGATAATATTTGGGAAACATATAAAAAAATAATCAAAACATATCCAAACTTACTTGTCATACAGCTTGATGAGTGACCTTGGCCTCTCATAACTATTTTGCTTCTGTTCAAGAAACTTTTGGTTCTCTGCCTGCATTGACTCTGGTTTCCAATTAGCATTGGCTAGAGACTTGCCCAACAACTCAGCAATATCCGAGGCCATTGCCTCAGCCTTCTTCCAGTATGGAAACGTTTCCTTCTTGAAGTGGTGTGACAACCACATATACATAGAACAAACTTGGTGCTTGGTCTCCAGATCCAAGAGCTCCTTATTGTTACGGGCAGATCCCGTTGGTACGCCCATAGCAATGTTGACAGGGAGTTTCTGACCATATGATGAAGCAAACCTTAGAAGATGATACATAGCTCTTGGGTCTTTGATATTAACTGGGGCAAAACAGAAGTTAAAACGATCCTCCAGAGATAGTTCCGGAACCTTCTGTAACATATTTGCAACCTTCTTTATATGATCATGTCGACACAGGAAGTATGAACCATCCAGACGACAATTTTCACTAAAATTTTCAAGTAGCTGGCAGAACGTAACATCAGGAATTTTCCCTGCGAATAGCTCAACCTGCTCAAAGAAAGGGAAAAGGCCCACTTTCTTAACTTCGTCAAAAGGTTGCTTTAGACTTTCAATTAAGTAATCCAGATCATCTAAATTCAATGTGGTTGTGAGTCCGTCTGGATAGATGCTTCCTCTCCGACCAGCTCTTCCAGCAATCTGCTTCACCTGAGACGCTGGAACCGCGACAGTTTTGTCACCATTGTACTTTGCAAGCGTAAAGAACACAACCCTCCTGATATTGAGATTTAGACCCATTCCCACTGCATCAGTAGCAACAAGCACATCGTATTCATTATTTTGATCATTAAACAAATTCGCTTGCTGTCGACGAGTCTCTGGTGGCAAGGCACCATAAATAACACAACAACGATGATTAGTGTGTTTTTCAATTGCAATTTTAACCTCAAATACCTCTCTCCTAGAAAAAGCAACCACACAGTCTCCAGACCGAACATTTTTAAGATCTCCCAAGAGCGTTTTGGCTTCAACCACCAATGGCTTGAACCTCTCATAATGCTGCTCGTGCAACTCATCACCAGTTTCTGAACAGATTTGTCGAACAATGTTCAGAACACTTGGATCTCCACACAAATGTATCTCGTCAGCCTTCAGCCCAAGCAATGCTCTTGTCCATGCAAAACCTCTGTATGGATCTGCCATCATCTGAATTTCATCAATCACGGCAACATCATACATTTCATCAGTTGACACCATTTCGACTGTGCAAGCAACATGGTTTGAGAATGGGACAAATTTCTTTTCTTGTCCTGTGTGAAGACTACAATAAACTCCATGCCCGTTGACTTTATCAAAGACTTCCATAGCCAATAATCTCAGAGGACTGCAGTAAATACCCTTCTTTGCTTCCATAAACCGTTGCAAAGCATTGTATGTTTTACCACTATTGGTTGGACCACAGTGATAAATTATCTTACGCTTCATAGCCCGTGCAAATGGAAACCATGTATGAGGCTTAGTGAGATCTGCTGATTCAATCATACTACGAAAACGCTTGATCTCATCTGGAAATTCTTCTAAACAATATTCAACAAATATAGGAAACAAAAACTTCACAGCATCATTAGATGGACCAAGGGATACCACATATTTGGCAACATCAGCCGAACACTTCTTGAAGAAAAAACTCCGAAACTTGTGCACGGCAGTAGGGAAAAATGAACGTCCAATGTATATTGCAAGAGCCTGATCGCATGCCCAACCCGAATTGCCAAAATTCCGGAATATCTCTTGAAGAGTCTCCCAATCAGCCCGTCTCTGCTTTGCACCCTTTTCAGCATTGCGAAGCTCATGATACAATTCAACAGGCTCACGTGACGCAACCTGCTGAAAGTTCATAGGTTTCGCTGAACTCACATTCTCATCACCATTTTCCGACTCAACAACCATCGAATCACAAACCAGACTGACATTACCCTCATCTCCATCTCCACAATTTGACAAATTGCGAGCACTGCCCTCATTTACAAAGTCCAAAATTTTCCCAGCATCTGCATCAAAATCACATTCAGAATCCACCATTCTACTACTACAAACCCCATTATCCTCCTCATCCTCCACAGTAGTCGAAAATGGTTTCGCATCAAAGGTACTGCAGCCTGTGAAATTCGGGCCTTTGGGGGGCAATCTAACCCGAATTAGGTCCCTGAATCCCGTCGAAAACGAACGGTGATTCGGAACATCGAAAGCGGGACAAAATTGGAAATTTGAGGATAGAGAGCGGTCATATGATGCAGAAGAACTAACATGTTGATTCCATATCAAAACCCTAAACCTAGATATGTTCTTCTTGGAAGCATAAATTCGAAACAGAGAACTTGAAGGGCCTCTAGCCATTGTTAAACACTCGCATAAAATTAAAAAAGCTCAAAGAAATGATAAACAAATTTAAAAAAAGCTCAGAAATTTGGGAAAAATTCAAAGAAATAACAAGTGAGTTTGAAATGATTGGATTATATCGAGCAAACCTGAGAGAATTGAGCCAGAGAAAATTGCGAGGAAGTGGATGGTGAGGGTTTTCCCCAGCAAAACCCTAAAACCCAGAAGTTGCTTTTGGGTTTTGACTTTTTGAGGCTGATTTTTCACTCCTTCTTTTACTTGGGTCGGTTTAAGATTATGGGCTTGGGTTTCATCTGGGCCTCCGCATCATCTTTTTATTACGGGCTTTCTCTCAACTTCTAAAATTTTACAAACGTGCGGATTACAGGAAGAAAAATTCGACTTGAACTCACTGCTCTAACTAACTTGGTTAAGTTCAGGTCTATCTAAAATTATATCATTTGAGTTGTCCTCTTTTTAAAAAGACAATATTGTACTTTAGTCTAATATGAACCGTAGGGAAGAGAATTCAGACTCGAGTGCATAAAAAAACATACATATTCTAGCCAATCTAACTATGCCCACGTCTGCTATTCGAGTCATATTCTTGTAAATTCATCTCAAATCACTTTGTAAGGCACAATAAATAGTTATCGGTAATTGGAGGCAGGCATTTGGGAGTATCTAAGGGCTAGTTGGAAAATGCTTTTAAAATGCCCAAGTGCTACATAAATTAAACATGTTGCCTAAACTTGTATGATTGGAATGTAGGAAACTGTACAACGACACTACAAGGACTAGGAGTATGATTTGGATACTAGCTACATGATTACAAGGGGTCAACCACCGGAGGATAAAATTTCGGGTAGGATGTCTGACCACATCATCTGTAAACGCCCCTCATAGAAGTATGAGATATCTTGATATTTTGGTCTCACCCAATGTAAGAATTGCCCAATCAGGCAGTCCCACCAAATATGTTCTCTTCCGCAAAATGATTTGAATCAAGTGTAGCATTTGTTAGTAGAATAGCTACTAGGACAAGGTGGTGAATAAGAAGGCAGAGTTGGCTTCCAAGCCTCATCATCTGAAGCCAAACTGAAGGGAAAACCAATTGTTCTGATGCTGCTGCTTCCCCACTGGCTTGTACTATTACTACTACTACTACGACTCATGTTCTTCCTGAATCCCCCTTCGTTTTCTGATGACCCTGTGTTTCCTTGCATCTGATTCTGTTGCTGCAAACTGATCAAAAAGCTGGTGAACTGCTGCTGTGAACCATCGAAATCTATGCTCCCCACGGTGTTGCTTAAATCACCGATTAATGCAGGGTTCATAGTTCCTGACAGTTCAGCCGGCGAGAACATGAGGCTGTTGGGAAACTCTCCATCAAACATGGAGGGTTTCAACACGGTCGGGTTGATTGGTTTGTAAGGAAGAGTGTCAAAGGAAGAGTAGTTTGTGTTAGATGCTTGTTGCAAGTCGTTGTTATTCCAAAACTGCATGGTTGATCCCATGTCGGTTGTGCAAGACATGTTCTCTGAGCTGAACTGTTGAGTGAATAAACCAGCTGCTCTAGGCTCTGGAAACTGAGAGTCCCAAGAGTGAGAAAGTGCTCTCTGTGCCATGGAGTTTGTTTTCTTGAAAATCCTGCAAATTGCCCATGAATCCTGCACACCATGAAGTATTTTAATCAGCAGAGCGATAACATGTTGGCACGAAAGATACAACCATTAATAATGACATGACGACAGTCAGTTCTTTAATAAAAAGTGAACAATAGTTTCATAGCCCGATTATTTTATTTCGGTGTCCAAAATTTTAACTAGTACTTACATTTGCAGGGAGGCTTTTATCTAAGAGCTTTTTTGGTGGAACTGAATTTGAGAGAGAAGGCAACCGAAACTCGTGCATCATCCAGTCAGTTTTGATCCCTTTTGCAGCTCTGCCTCTGTAGAACACAAGGGACTTCTTTAAACCTATGCACTTGGAGCCTTCCGAAGAATAGATAGGCCGGTCTGTTCCGGTTGCTTTCCAAAACCCGGCTCCTGTGACGCGATTAGGCCTGGTGCTGTTCTTGTATTTTCGGTCCCTCGGGCAGTAGAAGTACCACTCTTTCTCCCCAGTACTTGCCAGCTCTGCTTGCACAGATGAAACACAACTTATAAGTTCAGAGACAGTTGCTATACGCTCATTTAGAAAGTTAAGCAAAAAGCAAAAAGCAAGAAGAATATATGAAATATGTTGAAATTTATTTTAAAAATCCAAGTGCTTCCTCAAGAAGCACCTACTAGGTTGACAGAGAACGCTTCATAAATTTTGAGTTTTTCTGTCTAGTCAAACGAAGGTAGAAGCGTTTTTTGCTGCAGAAAACACTTTTAACCTTTCTAAATTGGCCATAAACATCATAAACTTGAGACAGATCCAAAACATGAAAAGGGCGAACAGTTTAAAAATCTAAACTAAAAAAGCACTTTATAAGAATGAATCAGAGACAAGTTAGCTTACTTGGAAGATCCCAGGGATCATATTTATAAATGTCAACTTGCTTGATCAGCTCAATGGGAAGAACCCTCTGCTGGATTTTTCTCTTCAGGTAAAACCCTACAAGCTCCTCATCGGTCGGGTGAAACCGAAAACCCGGCAACATCACATCATCAACCTTTTCCATCTCATTCTTCTGCTCCATACTTCTCTTCCTTCTCTAAATCGTAAGAAATAATATATCTCTAATCAAATAGTGGAACAGCTTAAGCTTTTTGGATAAGCACTTTTAACTAGTTCTTGACCGTGAGCTCTAAGAGAAGCACTTGTGAGTTAAAAGCTAACTTCATCCAAAGCTATATATCATGTGCCACCCGGGAGGAGTCTGAATCCGGAGCCTCAGCCGCCCTTTTAGGGTGACTAAAATGGAGAGAAGTAGATTTGCACGAAAATCACTGTTTTGTTAAGCAGAAGCTGAGGGTTTCAACTCTTATAACAACAGCTACCAAGAAAAACCTGAGTAGTCAAGTGAATGAGATTATTATTGAATTAAGTGCTTTTTATTCAAGCTGGTGTGTGCTTCTTGGACTGCATAAGGGGGAGAGGGTTATTTAAATCCGAATTAAGGATCTCAAAGAGTAGAAAAATAAAGCTTTTTTTTTTTTTTTCTGGAATTTTAAATTCCAAGTTGCTTTCACATTTTCTCATAGCTTGATTATAGAAACCAATTCCATTTTTATCTTCAAACCACCTTTAGACAAAATGACAAACAGACGTTCCTTGTCATAATATTATAATTTATTTATTTGAGTAATCTTTATTTTTGGCTTATACCACCTTTTAAATAATCATTTCTTAAAGGCCTTTTTTATTGGCACCCCACAATGTTATGAATACATCCCATTTTCTTTTATTTAGTCTGAAATTCCTTTTCTACCCTAATTTAAATTAGATAAAAATAAACAAACAAAACCAGCACCACCTTCATCATCCCAAAACCTACTCCTTTTCGACAGCCCCCCACCATGGCACCTCCATTAACAAAATGATCTCAAGTATACCAAAACATATGCCGACTTACAATTAAACTAACCAATAGTCTCATAGAAAGTCAATTCCTAGTTGACACAGAAGGATTGCTTCTCTACAAGTAGCATTTTTCAAAATTTTCACGGCCATCAAGTTGGTATCCCTGATTAGGTTGATATCGACATTATAAAATTCAATTTTATGGTATTTCATATCCTGCAAAATATTAGCAAAAGTGAGAATTCTAGAGAGAGAGAGAGAGAGAGAACGGCGGGAAAGGGGGTGACTATCATTGGCCAACACCGATGAGGAAGGTGGCAGAAGGGTGAGCGGTTCAGATAGGATGTTAGAAGGTTTTAATTTCTTAACTATTATAAAAAGGTGGTCTTAAACAATGAAAGGACTAATATTGGAATTTTAAAGAATAATTTTGAAGTTAATAAAAAGGTATTCATAAAATTATGGGGTGTTAATATTGGAATTTTAGACAATAAAAAGGTATTCATAAAATTATGGCGTGTTAATAAAAACACCCTTTCTTAAATTCTTTTTTTTGCTAAACATGTAATTTATGGACCAACTTCCCAAACACAACACTTACAGACCCTCTGGTTAGAAGATAAAACTATGAGATGGAGGCTCAGGGCATAAGGGATAAGGGAAGACCTAGGAAGACTTAGAAAGAGATTTTAAGAATAGGGAAGACCTAAGAAGACTTAGAAAGAGATTTTAAGAAAATATATGGAGTACTTGAGCTAATAGAAAACGTAATGACGTTCTAGAATTCATACGGCCAACCTTACTTAGTGGGATAAGGCTTGATTGTTATTGTTGTTTTTGTAGAAATTTTTAGGTCGACGGGTCGATGGCCCACTCCAACAACACTAATATTGTCCCCACTTTATCACCTACCAAATCCGTCAGGTGTGAGGTTTTATCACAGAAACCTCGGAATGAGTTAGACTGGAGTAATTCTATTTAAATTTTTTTTCTCCTTTCCCTCTAGCCGACGTGGGATAATGTGATTCCAACAAAAACCATCATGCAAAATAAAACACCGGACTAATCTTTAATTACACACTGAGACGATGCATGGTAAATTGGAAATAATAGAAAAACGATATATTTTTACTGAATTACCAGTAAATCCAGAAATTACAAGAATATGGTGCTGCAGTGTTGACAAGGTTAGGCAAACAGTGATTGTTTGGGCTAAAATTGTTCTTGGACAGCTCTCTATTTAGGGTAAATTCAGAGTACTGTTCACCAAACTGCTCCACAAGGGGCAGTTCAACTACTAGGGTTAGGGTTTGACCAGTGATGCATGTCATCTGACCTTTAAAGTTACATGTATGCAACAGGGAACACAATACGAACAAAACAAAAGCAAACGGGGTGAAGAAATTGACACATTCCAATCCGGAAGGTTTATTTGGACTCTGAATCGAGTCGTCGGAGACCTTTCGGGTTGGAGTGTGTCACAAATCATGTCATGTATGTGCTCAAGATTGGAATCATATATATTCAGAGAGTTTATCTGCTCTTATGTTGATTATTCACGGATTTTTTCCTCTTCCTAAATTAATGAAGTATGGTAAATATTATACTTAACAAATCTTCTGTTTGGACGCAAAAGATTGTCAATATGATGGCTGATCCACAATAAATATAAAAATGTATCGAACTTAATTATAAGTTTTTGTTAAATTTTATTGAATTCCTTTTATTATGTTTTGAGT